TCCCACATCCCCCTTAATAATCCAGAGCACTCTAATTAGGACTGTGGATAGTGAGCTGCCTTTTTACAGCCTGTGAAGTCCATAAACCAAGGCCATTTACAGAGCTGCCCACTAAACCTCACACCCCTTTAAGGGCACGCTGAGATCTTCCCCAAACCACTGTAACATTCCCGTTCCAAGGATTTTTAGTATCACTGAGAGATGGCCAAGCTGAGAGCAGGAGGGAGAGCAGCTCTTAACTCGATCCACGAAGCTGGAGCTCACACAAGTGTAAGAAGATCCTCCTGGTTATGTCTCCCTTAAGGATGACATTCCATTCCTCAGTGTCCTTAAGCCCCAAGGAAAGAGGAGGGTTTGGCTGCAAAGCCCAGTGCAAAGCTCACTGAACAACTCAAAATCTTTGCACTGACCTAAGCTGACTCTCTGCTGAAACCAAAACACCGAAGTGAATTCAGATCCATGGAAATGAGGTGCCAATTGTTTTTTTTCTCTGGCAATCATCCAGGGCTCACTTGTGGGGTCTTCCAGCATTTGAGCCTCCTCTCAAGCTGCCCTCTCACCTCTGAGATACCTCATCAGCAGAAAAGGGATCACATTTGCTCAGAAGCCTCCTGTGCTGAGCAGCCAAGGCTTTGGTAGCAGAGGTGTGGAATTCTGCTCTCATCAGCCCTCACCCCTCATCTGCCTCCCTGGCCTCATTAGCTCCAGCTTCAGCACTGAACCCCCAGGAGAAGGGCCAGGCTCAGCCATCACTGGCACCACCCCAGGGGCTCATCCCAGCAGGGAGCTGCACACACTTATTGGAGAGATGTTGGATTCCAGGGACAGGGTCACGACAGGCTGTGCCAGTTAAACTCAAGGGCAGGGAATCATCTGGCCCAAGGACAAAGCCACTGTTTCCTTGGATCCCTCTACTTGGCAAACCCTGTCCTCTGCTGCCTCACACACAGACCTTTCTGTTCCCAGAGCCTCCAAACCCAGCACAATCCCTTGTAGAAAATCACAGGATCCCAGAAATTATAAAAGCACTTGGGTTGGAAGGGAGAGAATGGCTTGGGTTGGAAGGGACCTCCAAGATCATCTTGTTCCAAACCCCTGCCACGGGCAGGGGTGCCAATAATGGAGATAAATTTCAACCTTCCCCTAGGAGTGCTGAAATCCTTTGTCAGCTGGGTTAGATCGCTCCTGTGTCCTCACCAATGCTCTGCCAGCTCTTCTGTCATTCACAAACTGGAGCTGCAGTGATTTCATATTTACTCCTGGATCATCAATGTAAATATTGATAGAAGTGAGTCTAATAGCAGAAGCCCACCAGAAATACATTTGATGTTTATTCCACGCTGACAGCTGCTTTTTGAGATCTGTCATTTAGCTTTTATTCAGTGATTAATGCATGTTATTGATAATTGTATAGTGCTAATTTTTTAAATCAGAATATCCTTCAGAACCGAATCAAACATGGCACAAAAATGTATTTTATTTGCACAGCTAGTCTAATAGAACTTGCAACTAAATCTGTGATCTCATCAAAGAATGAAATCAGGTTTGTATAGAATGACCAATTTCCTGTGAAAAGCTAAACTTTATTTTATTATCTTTTAATTTTTCACTGATTGAATCCAAGTAGCACCATAATTTATTGTTTTGCCTACTGAAGTAAACAATCTTGTCCAAAATCTGCACAGGATTGCAAAAACATTCAAGTTTCTGTTTGTTTTTTCTTTAAGTAATTTTCTAGAACTTTTCTGAAAGACATTTTTGAGAACTTGCAACAGAGGCATCCAGAAGAGTGACTGGCACAGCAAGAAAGCCCAGGGGGAAGAAGGAATCTCTGAGTCATCCTCACAACTCCCTTTTCCAGGTCTCAAAGAGCAACAGGGAATTGCTCCCAGGCTGCTCCAGCACAGGCAGAGATTGATTTCGAGGTGCAGGATGTCACAGAGGCCTCGTGCTCTGCACCAGGGCTGGGCTGCAGGGACAGGGACTCCTCCTGCTCCCCGGGCAGGGAATCAGCAGTGTCGGATACTGGCACGAACAGGAGCAGCAGAGCAGCTTTTGGTTTTCCCTCCAGCTCCCTCTCACTCTTCCCCTGCTCCCACAAAGGAATATGATTAAGATGTGAGTTGTTTAGATCCATTTTTAATATCTCCTGATCAAAAGAGAAAGCTTAAAGAGCATGTAAGGAATGACTTTGATATTAAAGAGAGAGAAAGAAGAACAAATAGTTTAATTTGCTTCTTGTCTGTCTTGGCCTGGGATTTTGAAGCAGATGTTCATGTGCAAACACCAAAAAAAAAAAAAACAAAAACCCAGAAAAAAAAGCCCACATGCCATCCAAGTCTGAGCACAAATGGCCTGGTTCAGAGGGAAGATGTCTGGTGAGGGCTCAGCCAGTTGCTGCCTGCTTGGGGTGGAGAAGGGTGGCACAGGCAATGACCCAACGGCAACATTCAACTCTGTGAATGGGCTGAAAGTGGGACAACAAATGAGAGAAGAAATCCTTAAAAAGGAACAAACACTTGCAGTAATCCCTCCCATGAAGCACGTGGAAGTGTGCTGTTGCAAGTGTGTCCGTGGATCTGAAGACTGAGATCGGGTATTACAGTGAGAGTTTAATGACGATCTCAAGAGACAAAGGAGGAAGGGATGGGAAAAGAAAGGGGCTGATTTCTGCATCTTAAGCTGATGAGAGCACAGGGTGGCACATGTGAAGCCTCTGATTAATCAGAAATAGGGGAAACAGACTCTTCATATCGTCCAAATTCCAAAGGGCTGCAATGTCAGATTTTCGAGAGGGCTTTGATTCTTTTTGGTCTGCACACGTAATGAGGAATGAGGGAGAAAGTGTGCAAAGCCAGACCCTGGAGAGGAGCCCAATCAGCCAGGAATCAAACAGGAGGGGGTGTGATGTGTCACACATCAATTTAACCCAGAACCTGGGACAAATGGTCCATGGCAGCAACAGCCACCAACCTTCCACCTCCCCCTGGAAGCAGCAGAACCTCCCTGTTCTCCCAGGCTGATTCCAAAGGAGGCAGTGAGGGAAGAGGGACCCACCTTGCCTCATTACTGTTAGGAGGAGAACAGGAAGGGACACAGGCACTGGCAGAGAGCTTTCAAAGAGTCATCCTGCCCCTTTCCCTTCAACCATGGAATCATCAGCTGGACATTATCCCCCATCCTGTTATTTCCTGCACACTTCTGATTTTTAAAATTTTTACGTATTTCATTTCCACTTCTCTTACAAGAACCTCAGGAATACCCCCAACTGTTCATGATGAAGATGGAAGAGGAAGGGGAAGCAGACTGGGAGTACCAACAACTAAAAAGACCTAAGGTTTGGATATAAATTTGAGATGTTTGATCCCACAGCAAGTCCTTGAGCTCCTGCCATTTAAAGCCTGCTCATGTTGGAACAAGGCTACGGATCCAGACCATACACACATCCCAATGGATTTATGGACACACTGTCACTTATCTCTCTGGCTAGAGCTCTGTGGAAGCCAAAATGTGCCACAGGGACATTTGGACCTCACAGGATCCAAGCACAACTCCTGCATCCGTGTCCTTCGGCCTCGGACAGGTTGGTGCAATCACCACCAGATCCTGTTCCAGGCCAAGCACCTCTTCCATTCCTGCCTCTCACTATGTTCAGGTTTCATGTGGGAAATGAAAACATTTCAAAATGTCTCTCTGTGCTCAGGTTTCGTATCAGTAGCACAGTATTTACCTTGCATTAACCGAGCACAAGCTGAGTGCAAAATCTGGCCCTTCATACAATGGGATACCTTTGGCACTGGGCCCAGACAAGAACAAAAAAACAATTGCCTGAGTTTAATCAGCTGGTGTTAGCTGGCAGTGCAAGAAGTCTTTATGCAGGTATTTATTTGTCCCAGCAATAACAAGAATATTGGAGTTTATATCCAGGAGATAAGGGAGTACCTTGTCACTCAAGCACAGCTAACAAGGGAATTGCTGTTTGGTGCAGACATGTAAATGCCAAATGCTTAGTCTGGTTATTACTGTAAATTCCATTTTTACAGCCCCTTGTTTTTAAAATGGTCTCTTAATTGATTTTTAATTATATTTTTCAATGACATTTAACTCCACATGCTTTGTAAACAAACCCACACAGATGCCAAAATATATTAAAGGAGCAAACACCGATGCATTGGAGGTGTTATTTTCCCAGCCTGCACTAAGTGCTCCCAGTGGATGCTTTGCATGAGGAAGTGAGATCCAATTTGTTCTGGGTGTAAGTGGGTGCAGTTCTACACAGGCAGAAGGTTTGGCCCTCAGGGTGTTACTGATACACATCCCCAGGAACACTGCTCCTCCTGACTGCCATCAGAATGGATGGGGTGCTACATAAAATGAGTGATAGCTTCCAATTCTGGGCCCTGAGTGATTTCCCCAGTTGAAATTTGGCCAGGACACACTAACCTGGAGTGGTTTAGTGTAAAGTACCACAAGGTCTTCAGTGGAATGGAATGGAATTATACATAAAATGAGTGATAACTTCCAATTCTGGGCCCTGAGTGATTTCCCAAGTTGAAATTTGGCCAGGACACAGTGACCCAGAGCTGGTTTAACACGAAGCTGCACATTGCCTTTAGTGATCAGAAGAGGTCAGGACATCTCTTTAACCCCGTGTTAGAGAGAAGCAGAAGGCATCTCCTGTCTCCAGTGGGTTTTTTGGAGGTGTCCAATAGCCCAGGTGAGCACTGGACAGCGTTTAAGGACATGGAATTATCAACTGCATCCATCCAGCTGCCTAAAGCACAGGTTTGGGATGAGTTAGAAAAGTTGACCCAGTTAACTGAAACACTGCATGAAACTACTCAAGCCCCCTGAGTTTGTGGCTCAGCAGCCCCCGGGTTTGGGGTCCAGAGCATTTTGTGCCATTCCAGAGAGAAACCACGCGCTGGGAGAGGCTGGAAGCAGCTCCCTCAGGTCCCACCACCCTACATTAGCCGTGGGATTTGTTGGAAAGCACTCACTGTTGTAGCTGCTGTTCGCACCAGTCTCTGCTGCAGCGGTGCTGGGCTCCCCCAGCCCATCAGAGGTGGCCAGATCTTATGGAAAATCAAAATGAGAACTTGAAAATTCCAGTTCTTGCACACACCTGAAAACACTGCACGACCCTGTCGGTCAGCAGGTGAAGACCTGCCCCTTTTTCACTCAAACCTGCACCTGCTGCCAGTTCACACAAACCTTTGCCATGGCCAGGGTGTCCCACTGTTCTGAGCAGGACTGTGATGTCGTTGGTGGTTACAGACAAGTGGAAAACACCGGAAAACCAGAATTTAGTATTTACCCAATTCCCAAGCTTAACAATTATGGCAGAGGCACAGTCACAGTGCTTTTGCTGGGCAAGGACCTGACTCCCTCATGTTGTGGAAGTCATCAAAGCCACAGGACAGGGGAATGACTCTGTTGATCTTGGGTAAGATTCACTCCTGTGCAGAGATCCAGCACAAGCCAGTCCATCCCATCAATTCTGTTCAAGCCCCATCCTGCAGAACAAAGCAGCACTCAAATCACACATTACTGGGACAACAAACACTGCTGCTCCTGAGGAGGCTACAAAACGCTTCCAGAGACTGTCAGAAAGGAGCTGGGACTTCCCAAAGGTCACAGGGCAGGGAGGCAGGGCTGGGATACACCTGGATGCCAGAGCAGAGATCCATCTGCTGCCCACCCCCTTCTCCCTGGTACAAACACCAGTGACAGCTTCTGCCCCCCAAAATGTGTAAAGTCTGCCTGCACAACGGCAGCTGAGTGCTCATCACAAACGACACTCATTAATTCACGCCATTTACCTTCATTTCAATTATTTAATTAGGTAGGGGGTGTGTTCTGCATTGATGACTAAAGCTCTTTTAATTTGTCTCCAGTGGATACACATTTTACCTGCTCTTTTTTTCTTGCAGCAGCACCTGTGGGATTTGCCCACCCCTATTTCCTCCCATGGGACCTGAGGAAAAGGAATTTAACTGGCATTCCTTTCCAGCCCTTAACGAAACCAGGGCTCAGGTTCCTGCTGGAAATGTAAGTCTGGTAAAACATCTTTGCTGACAGTTTTAAAACTTCCAGAACATGGAAATTAAGCAAAAGGAATTGGAAATCTCAGGGACAGATTCCAACAGACAGCAATGCACACTCAGTTCATTAACTGGCTCTGAAGAAATGCAAGTTCTACATTTCATATGTGTCACAAACCCTTAAGAACAATAAAAGTGTTTGTTAATGGACTTTTTAAGGGGAAAAAAAAAGCTAAACCAAGTGGCAAAGCACTTTGCACTTCTTCGGCTCAGCAAAACTGGCTGCAAGACAGAGCAAACTGTGGATATATTTAGGGAATTATAAGTAAAGTTTCAGATCAATCCATTGCTGAACTTGTGCTGATGCTCAAAACAGTAATTGGAAAACAATCCTGGTAAGGTTTTGTGCAGCAAGGATAAAAATCCCTTCCTTCAGCACAAGCCAGTCCTCTTGTCTCCTGGGGAAGGGAACAAATGGCTGCACTGGGAATCCAACAGCTCTTTGTTGTGTCTTTTAAAGCAAACAGACAGGCACCTGTACTCAGGAATAGTTACTTTTTTATTGGGCCATTAAGTGCCCAAGTGGTCACTAAGTGTGTAATCCCTCCCCTAATTGCATGGCCATGAATATTCATGGTCAAATTGTAATTAAAGAGCGGGTTCATTCTGCATGGACACTCTGGTTTCACTGTTCTCAACTGCCAGACCAGAAATGGTTTCACATGAGGAGAACCCCACTGGTTCCCAGTTCATGTGGCCACAAGACCATACAAATGGCCACAAAAAGATATAAAACAAACAACCAAAATCCTTGGAGAGGATTTTGGAATGCAGGTTGGCCCAGCAGCAGGGAAGGGGTGGGAAAGCCCCTTCTCCTCAGCCACGTGAAGTGAGAGAAAGGCAGGGAAGGTGGAACAGGATGGATTTGTCACAGCCAGTAAAGGAGAGCTGCTGTTTTCATTTCTGAGGCCTAAACTGGCCAAGCACTTCAGCAGACACATTTATTGATCAGGCAGCCTCCAAACAACACCAGGGAGGGGCAGAGCCTGGACAAGCAAAAGACACACATTAAATACAACAGGGGAGTTCCAAAAACTGTCCTGATAGCACAAAAAAATGAGAAATAAATTCAATTTATAGAGCTGGCATGTGTATGGGAAGCATGAAGCCACTCCTGCCAGTAGGAAAGTGTGGAGATTTTGCTATTACATGGCTTTTCCTGTCATGTTTGATCACTATTTTAGATGCAGAGGGGACACTGTGCCTGTTAATGTCACTGGCCTCAATCATGCAATCCTTAATCAAGCAGAAATCCCTGCAGCTTTGCCTATAAAAGAATTACAGACTTAGTTATAGGTTTTCTGGTGCAGATTTGACCCCTGCTGCCTCCCTGCTGCAATAAAACTCCTAAACCCTTTTGGATCATTACTCCTACAACTTGCCAGAGGGCAGGGGAGGTGCAGCATTTATGGGGCTGCTTCTGGTTTGAACCAAGAGCTGAGGATCTTCCAGTGCCTGCACCGGCCAAGGGACAGCAACAGAGACCATCTCCACCAGGGACAGGGCAGGCAGGGACCACCTTCAGAAATCACTCCACCCATTAATCCCCCACTCAAAACAACTTTCTCATCCTTGTTCAGCCATCGCCAGAGTGTCCCTTTTTTTAGGACATAAAACCAGGCTGCCTTAATGCTGTAAAAAGGTTATTAGTTTTGTTTATTCCAAGCTCTGAAATATGTATTCAATTCTTAATTTGCTGATGTGTCCTCTAAACATATGAACATTTGGGTTCTGCCTTTGTAGTGGTAACTGGAAAGTGATATAAAATCAAGCCTGGAAAACATTAAGCACTGCAGTGACTGGAGTTGTTTTTCATGGCATTTATCACCTCACCGCTTGTTTTTCAGAACTAAATTTCCAACGCAATTCTCTTTTTAACCTGCAACATTAGGGGAAAATATTAAACACGTTCCCTGGCAGACAATATCTATTTATCAGAGACAAGCCCAGAAAAAAAGCCCTACCCTGCTAAAGGCAGAGCCTGAGACTCACTCTGTGACACAACTCAGCTTTGGGAGGAAGGAGCAGAGAGCCACGGGATCCTGGAATGGTTTGGGCTGGAAGGATTTCAAAGATCACCCACTCCCACCCCCCACTAGAACAAGCCCTGTCCAGCCTGGCCTTGGACACTTCTGGAAGTCCATACAATTATCCCTCCAATGTTCATGGCCTGGTTGTATCCAAGGCTGTGATTTCGACTGAGCTTAAAATCCCCGCCTGGAGATCAACAATAAATTCTTCTGGATTCTCCTTTTCAAGTGAAAAGAGGAACAAATGATTTAAATTGTGCCAGGAGACACTGATTACAAACTAATCTAAATGCATAATCACCTGCAGTCATTTAGCCTCAATCCTTTCAGCTGAAGTGTGTTCTTAGGGGCAGCCAAAGGTGATTTTTGGGATGGGGCTCAGCCTCTAAGTGGTCTGTGGAAGCTGACTCAAGACAACTGAAATTATTCTCCATTGAGATCCACATGAACATTTAGATAATTCTAAATGCCAGGCATCAATAGAGTTCTTTATTCAAGGTGCACTTCATGCTTTATTTACCTTATTTTAATAGGCAATAATAATGGAATAATAAATGGGAGAGAACTGGTTTTTCTGTTGTCTTTGTTCAGATTTCTCAGTGTGAGAGAGCAACACGTGGCTAATTTTTCATCTATCCTTGAACAGCCTGAACTGACAGATTGCCCATAATCTGTTCCACGATCTCAGTGCCAGAACATGACAATAGACAGCCCCACGGAGAGGCTTGGGAATCAAAAATGGAATAATTTAACAGTAACCAACAGCTAAAGGGTGACCCAGTTCGGAGAGGCCTGGAGAGAGAGCCATTGCTGGTGGCTCCAAGCATGTGTGGCTGCATGCAGGCCCAGTTAAAAGGCAGATTAATAGGCAGTCAGGTGTGAGGAACAAAGCCAAGGAGCCCACTGAGGAGCACACGGCCCTCAGCCTGCTTTGGGAGGCGCTTCAGGAACCAACCCGGGCTGCTCCTTTTTGAACCGTCAGCATCCAAGGATTCACACCAGCATTTCTCCAGCCTGATCTGTATTCCAAACTGTATTCCTGCTCACATAAATCTCAGTGTTGTTTTTTACCAGGGAGTGAAAGGGAGAAAAGCTGCTGGTAAATCAATAGGCTGCGTTGCTCACCCCAGTCTATGAAAGTAGCGGTGCTGTGCTTATCGTTTGTGCTGCCACCAACTAATTGCTGTCCCTCGCACTTCATTATCCCCTGTAATATGGTTACAACAACACAGGATGACAAATAAGAACTGTTATCTTCTCCTGGCCAGTCTTTCCTCGCAGGGTGAGTTCTCATTCAAATCCATCTATCTGGATGAGTAAGATTTACCAGATTACACGTGGACTTAAAAGGTTTAACAGGAGCAGTGATGGGAGAGCCGCCTCGGGAAATATTTTCACAGGCACACTTTTGGGATCTGGCACCAAAAATAAAAAAAAAAGAGTCTTTCCTGCTGCTTTTGTACCCACCATGGTTTCCCTCAGCTCTCCCTGTATTTAAGGCAGCAGTGCTGGCAGACAGAAAACCCGGTTCCTATGAAATCCTAAACGTGCCTTATGTGCTCCCTGAATCAGGTCTGCCAGTCATCCACACACCAGAGAGGTGGTCTGATTCTTTTGATGTTAAATTAGATCCTGTAACTAATAAAACTGCCTGCATTGACTGGGAAGCAGAATCAGGCAAAGAATATTATGGATAGGAGAAAAGACTTTGGGTCTGGCAAGAAAGGATAAAAGTGCCTGATCATAAATGTGTGGCCTAGTTAAAGGAAGTCCTTTGTTGCCACAAAAAAGAGGAGCTGTAGAAAATGTGAATGAAACCTCCAATAGCCACTTTATGGCCACCTGGTCTCTGGTGGGTTCAGGAGAGCAAGAGGAGCCTCTTCTGTGGCTTCTAAACTGTTTACACCAAAAGGCACAAGGGCACTGGCACACACACACATC